TTCTCAAAAGAAGGAGTACATAAGAATATAAGAAAGGAAAAGTTACTTAAAATACACTATATATTCATACTAGATTGCTTACTGCTTTCATTTTAGCCACACCCACCTTTATGTAATTGTAAAATATGAGAACAGTGCAGCTGAGAAATAAGAAAGCTTAAAAGAACAGTTGTTTCATCTAGTCAAATATGTGCTAAGCACAGATTTTAATTAAAATGAAAAAGATGTATAAATTGCATGCTACTGAACATGACTAGTGGGGAAAAATGCACACGCACCTGTACAATACTGAATTATGGAGGTTTTTTTGTAAATTAGCTATGAGTCAGGACAGTTATTTCAATGAAAGTGAAAGTCAGTATTTGTGAGTGCACTTCCACAGCGAAGTAGTGTAAATCTCTTCAAATTCTGATATTTCAAAGTATACACAGCTACAGTGAAAATAGCTTTGTGCACATTCCCATACTGACTGTCAAAAACATTTCTGAAAACACTCTGAAAGTAATGATGCAGAGCTAAAGAAATGAGTACTAAATCTCAATAGGATCTTACTAGTATTTCAATTTCAAGGATTAAGCGGAATTTTCTATCAGGGCACAAAGGTATGAATTGCGGAGACAAACTAAGCAGCTATTCCCAGGGAAAAAATAACTGGAAACGTGTAATTTATGTACTGGATTAAAAGAATCCAGGGAAACTAGGGATGTGAGACAGAAAAATCTCCTTGAACTGTTGGATTTCTGCATTAGACAGAAAATACCTTGAATCACAATCCAGTTGCCATGCTGGAAACGCTAAGTTTTGCATTTCACTTTAAGACTACACGCTCTCAGCCATGTACACAGAAATCTTTTGTACAGCACTTCTGCACCCCAACTCTTCTCTACGTCCCTCCTACGTCCCTCGGTTAACTCGTTATTTTCGGTGGCCGGGGCACTCGAGCGCACGGCGGCCGCTTCTGGCTTTGAACGCCGCGGAGGGATGCGCGGGGGGGGAGCGGGGGACGGGGGGGCAGCGTGGGGGGAGGAAGAGGAGCGGGGAAAGGCTGTGACCCGGTCCAACCTCCCAGCCCCGCGTCCCCGCAGGCAACCAGGGAGGGCAGAGCCGGTCCAGCCTCCGCTGAACGGGCGCCTTAACGGGGGGCCCGATGCTGCATTCGCTGCGCATCCTGCGCGCCCGCCAGCTCGACGGCAGCCCCGGGCGCCCGCCGCTCACACGGCATCGGGGAAAATATCCATGCGCCTTCCTGCCTCCAGAAAAAAAAATTTAAAATAATAATGATTTTTAAAAAAGGTCGGGCGGCCGAAAGTGAAGAGGGAAGGAGGAAGAGGAATAAAAAGTAACGCTTAGAAATTGTGGCTGGGAAGGAGCCCGCTGGCCTGGCAGCGCCCGAGCTCCCTGCCGGCCCCGCCGCACGGTGCTGTCCCCGCCGGCGCTCCCGCCACAAAAAGATGCCTTGTGAGCCTGTGTGCGCAACTCCGAAACGCGAGCGCCCACGCCAGAGCCGGCCCCGAGGGGGTTAAACGGCGTCGTGGAGAAAAAGGCACCGTGTCACATATTATGTGTGTATGTATGTGTGTGTGTCTGTGTGTGCGGAGGGGGAATCGCCCGGCGCACAGGCTGCGAGAGGTCTCGGCGCCTATCACAATAAGCACGATCGCGTTCATACAGCTACGAGAGCCCGAGAGCTGCCGGCCACCGAGAAATGACATAGAAACAACCACCAAAAAATAGCTAAGCCAATGACAAATAGCGACCCGGGTGACAGAGACAGAGAATTTTGTAGGCGGAGAAGAGGAGGTGAATGGCCAGCTCTGATCACAGTATTAGGCTGGGCTATCTATGGGGAGGGTATTTACTCGGTTTTGGGGTGTGTGGGAGGAGAGGAAAAACACCTACAAATAGCTGGCACGATTCAAATGGTCTCGGATTATGTTTTCCCCCCCTCCAGTCCAGGAAGGAAACTCGCTTTTTAACGCTACGAGGGGGAAAAAATAGCTCTGTGCAATAGGGGATGAAGAGCACTTTGGTCATTCGTTAATACCCAAAGGGGCAGAGATGATAAATGTGACAGCATGTGGCAGCACGACCGTCACCCGGGCTCCTGCAAAAGGCGGCTCCGTATCGCGACACGGGAAATTAAGCGATTGAGTGGGAGGTGGAGAAAGCGCTTAAACGGAGAAGTTAATCTGCTAACATGGAGAGGAAACAAACGGAGAAAAAAACCCCGAAGGTTGTCCTCTCTATATTTTTTTGGGTGGGGGGGTGCGGGGGGAGAAGGGAAAGGGAAGAGAAAGAGCAAAGGGGCATTAATCCAGCTTACGAAAACACGGGGAGAGAAGGCGAGAAAGGGAGATGTGCATGTAAGTGTGGAAGTCATCCTGGCGGCTGCCGCTGCAGAGCCGGGAAGCAGGAGCCTCCGTGTCCCGGGCGCTGCCCCCAAATTTCCACGGCGGAGAGCGGGGTGGGGGGGGCAGAACGCGGGAGGGAGGGATCCGCTGGCGGGGGGGCCGGTAGGGACCGGAGGGGAGATGAGGGGCAGCCTGTCCTATCATGTCCCGGCAGCGCGGGGCACCGGGACCCTCTGGAGCTCCAGCTGTCCCGCGGCTCCCGCCCGCCCCCCCGCCAGCCTCCGCGCCGCTCTGCGCGGGCCGGGTGCGAGCGGCGCTGCCGGGATCCCCGCCCGGGCGCGGTGCCGCCCCGGGGAGCAAGCGGGGTTACCTGCCGGAGGAGACGGCCGCTCCCGGCTGCCGAGGCTGAGGGAAGCGAGTGACAGATCCGCCCAGGACCTGCCGCCGCCTCCCGGAGCCTCCCGGCCCGCTGCCCGCCGGGCTCCCGAGGTGACTTTTCCCGGCGGCGGGGTGCAGGTTGCCCCCGTTTTGCAAAGACGCTCTTCCCCCGCCCGCCCAGCTCCCTCTGCCCCAGCCGCGCCCGGTCCCTCCGGCTCTTACCGCCTGTGCCGGCGGCGGCAGCGGCGGCACCCGCTCCGAAGCGCGACGGTGAGGGTGGAAGCGGGGCAGCGGAGGGGAAGGGAGGTGAGTTTCGCGGGGCGGGAGGGCGGGCGGCCCCCGCGCCTCCCCCGCGGCGGCGGCAGCAGCGATGCGATCGGGCATCACTCGAAAATGGCGCCGAAAGAGCGGAGGGCTCTTCATTCAAATTCGTTAGCGCCAGCCCCGCCGCCCCGGGGCATGCCGGGAACGGGGGGGGGCGCGCGGGGGCTGAGGCGGCAGCGCCGCACGGACACGGCGCTCGCTGTCAATGCCGCCCCTCCCCCCCGCGCTCCCGCCGCCCGCGCGCGCGCTCCACGCCCTCCCCGCTCACCGCGCGCTCCCGACCCAACCGCCGCTAATGGGGAAAGGGGGGGGGGGGGGGGAGAGAGGGAAGGAGGGAGGGAGGGAGAGAGAGGGAAATGTCACCCGGAGCCCGGGCCCGCGGGGGAGAGGTGGCGCGTTAGAGATGTGTGTGGGAGAGAGGGAGAGAGAGAGGGGGAGCGAGACCTCCGCTGGCCCCGCGAACTTGTCAAGGTAAAGGCGCCGGTGGAAGGGAGGGGGGTGGATAGGGGGGCACGACAGCGGATTTTGGGAAGGTAGGGAAAGGAAGCCCGGCTGGGGGAGGGGGATGTGCGCCAAGAGGACCTGAGGAAAATATGAACAGCGCCTCCCCCCCGCGCCCCCCCCGCGCCTCCAAGGACCCCCGCGGCTCCCGCTGCGCTCAGGTTGCAGCCTGACCCCCCTTGTCCCCCCACATGGCCGCGCACCCCGCCGCAGCCAGAGGAGGGTGCGGAGCGCTCGGCGCTTGCCCGCAGCGCGCGGGCCCGATCCCGATCCCGATCCCGACTGGCAGCCGCCGCTCCCCATCCCCCTCCTGCCGCCGCACCGGCTGCGGGCGGCAGCGCCCCGGGGCGCCCCCCGGCCGGGCTCGCCAGCAGCCCCTCAGCGGCGGAGCGCGGCTGTGCGGGCTCATCCCGGGGCAGAGCGGGCCCGGAGCGGACTACACTGGTCATTGCGAAAAAAACCAACCAAACAAACAAAAAAAAACCTAAAAAGAAAACCAAACCAAAACAAACCCCAAACCAACTAAAACACCCCACACAAAAATTAAAAAAAAAAAGAAAAAGAAAAAAAGGCAAAAAGCCCTCTCGGAGGAACTTCACGGAGCGAGGTTCAACTCGGGCAGCGCTCCCGCCTCGGCTGCGCGCAGAGCGCTCGGAGAGAAGGCGAACTTTCATTTTCACGCCGCATCCTCCCCTCCGCTCCAAGCTGCGCCTGATCGTAAGATACCTGATGGCCGGGTTAGTGCTCCCACCCGCCTTTCGGGGATGGGGCAGCCGAGATGGAGGTTAGCGAGCTGCCGAAAGCCGCGGGGGGAAGGCAGAAGGCAGTGCCGCCCGAGCCACTCGCAGCCTGCACTTGACTTGTGCCTCATGAAGGGTCCTTCCCCGGCAGCTCCGCGGACCCTGCCTCGGCTGGGAGACCCAGCGCATCCCTGCCAGCCGCTCCTCGAGCGGTGTTCCGCGCTTTTTTTTACTAATCTGATGCACTTTTTAGAAAGGGAAAGGAAAGCAGGGGCCTCAGACCTGCAAACTGTTGTTCTCATGACTTAGGGGAAGATTTTTCAAAAGTACATAATGGGAGTCTGGGAGCTCTGTTCCCACTGACTTTCAAAATCTTCCCTTCACGTCTGTGAGCAAGTCCTCTTGAACTCGGTTGGACTGCTGGCAGACGAACGCTAGCAGGCTCAGGGCCTAATGCTTTTCATGATTCCACTGCTCCCTGCTAGAGCTGCACTGACAAAATATAAAGAACAAGTTTTGAAAGGGAGAGGTAATTTCTCTCGCCTTTTTTTTTTTTTTTTTTTTACCAGTGCTACAGTACAAAACACGAAGCTTTTGAGCTCAAAAAGCCTAGACCATCATGGCTACGAAAATTACTGCTGCTCAGAGAGTGTGTAATTCTGGAGCTCCTTAAGGAAAAAAGTAGTGCGATGCAACATGTAAGTAATCACATAGGTAATATTATGCATTTATGTTATTATATTTTCCTCTGAATTGAAGTTTGGTGCAGCTAAAGAAATTGATTCCTAATTTTTTAAAACCAGGTTCTCAATGAAAATGAGCTACATGACAAAACTTCAGATCGTAAAGCCATTCTATTAAGAAGGAGGAAATATAAATTATTTGCAGTATATTTACTTTTTTGCTCTTTTACTAAAATTACTCTGAGCAAAATTTTTGAAAAGTATGCCTTTCAACTGAAAGGAATGATAGTACATATTTTCTAATTTTTTTTCCCTGAAGGTTAGGTGCCTGTGAAAAGAAAACTTTGCAGTAGAAATAGCAGTGAAAACAGTAAAGAAAAATATAAAATTATGGTGTTGCTGATACCACTTCTCTGTACTTAGATTATGTATAGTTTTGCCCTAAAATAATTCTAGTTACTATTTTACACCCATTTTTCCAATGCTAATATAAAAATAAGATGTAGAAAATATTATGTCCTGTTTCTGTGATACACGGTATTCTTCAATATGAATAGAACACTACTTTCAGATATCATTCCTAAGATTTCATTAAGATTTTTAATGAAAGTGAAATTTTTACATCCCCTAATATGTAGTACTTGCTCTCAGGTTCCATTCTTAATGCACATAGGCCCCAGTTCTGCACAGACTGAAATCTGTGTGATTATGTGTAAGCACACTGAGTAGTTCTCTTTCTTATTATGCTCTTGTGTTTCGGACTTACAAAGTTAATAGTGACATTACACAACCATTACTCTCAGAATTACTTAGGACTGTATAAAGCTTAAACCTAATGTAATATTCTTAGTTTACACCTTCTATCCGTATATCTTAAATAATGCACAATTACAATAATTTGTGGATCAGAATGGGTAAATATTTAACTGAGAATTAGAAAAAGTGAGAAAGGCAATTGCTGTAGTGTAAAAATCCATGTAAGAGGAGGTGGCTATTGCATTCTTTAGCTGTAGCATCTGGGAGAGGATCATCAGTGTTTCCTCAGTGACTAGCCAAGCCAAAAAGTCACAGCAGGAACACAGCTGAGAATAGAAGGAAAAGAAAGGGATTTTGAGCCTCACAAAAAATAATATCAACCTTTTAGATCAAGTTTCCATCCCAAACAAACTGGACTCATCTGGATGTCTTATCTGCTGTGGAAGCAGATATGAGGTTAAGCTGCAGTTTTTATAATCAACTCCTTTCTTCAAGCAGTTCTCATTAGAGCACTACCTGAAAACCTCCTCATAGTACCTGTCCTGCATTACAGGTTCTTCTCCTCAGAGAGTGCCATTAAATTGTCAGAGAATCTCCTCATCCAGTAAGAAGTGACATGACCAGCATTTGTCATATTATCTGCTCTTTTGTTGCCAAGGGAAGGAGCGTGTGCAATTGAATGTTTTCAGTTTATTGTATCTGTCTTTTCTTCCATATACATTATATCTTTATGTTAGTGAGGTAAGGCTGAAGTAATATGTTTTGTTCTTCAAGCAAGGTGCAGTTAGATTTCTGACGGCCCTTAATTCTTAGGCAGTTTCATTTATTAGACTTTCACCGGCCCCGAGAAAGTTCTGTCTGTAGAACTTTCAGCTTTTTTTCCCAGTTCTTGCATAGGTCCTCTTATGTCAGAAGAGGGAAACTGTTGCCAACAGGATCCAGTCTAGAGACCTAGGAGGCACTTTTAGGAATCCTGGGTTTGTGCCCTGGAGAATCCTGAGCCCCCAAATTTGTGAATTAAATGTCTAGAGAAAATCAGTGTAAAAAAAGGCTTATAATAACCTACATTGCTAACATGACATCCCCCCCAGCATCCTGTACTTGGAGTTTCCTATATGCAGCAGGCTTTGTGCTTGGATATATTGGATTGCTTAGATCCAGCTGAGAGGTGGCAAAACCAAAGCAAGGCACTTGTCTGCTGAAATGACACAGAAGCTCATAGCCAGGGATGGTTAGAAAGCTGGAGGCTGTCTTCTGGCTCAGGCATGCATTGCTTTACAAATTACCTTGCTATGTGTTTCTAAGATTTATTTTACAACTGTGAGGATTAGAGGAATTTGTTGTAATGAAAACTGGCGTTGTGTCATTACTGGGTAACTTTTCAGTTAGATTATTTGGCTTGCCTGGGCTCTTGCACGTTATTCTATTTCTTCTGGAAAGTTCCTAGGTAAGTTAGACCAATTGGGGGGCACTAAGGCACACCCACATGATGATAATTGCACACCTACATGTTGTTTTGGTATTCAGTGTTTGTATTGTATATTGACATATAGCCAGTGAAAATTTGAAATTTTTTCCTACTTATTTTTCTAATTTGAGCCCTGCCTTGCCCCTGATGCTCATCCAGCCTTCTAGATCCTTGTTATAGGTTCATCTGAGCCTCTCTTCAGGCCTCCCCTGTACATTTCAGATCACTTGAAGTTTAAAGTTTCAGTTTAATAACCTAGTAACTGTAGTTGGGCATCCTCCTTCATGTGTGTTTTACTTTCTGCTGTAGCCATTCAGTCTCTATTTTACCCTGACAAACACAATATTTGGAATTCATTGCTTTTGCAATTTTAGTCTGCTTGCAATGATAGAGGTTGTAATCTAGAAAGGACTAAAGTGGACAGCATTTGCTATTGTACAATGAAAACAGAGTTTTGAATTTGCCAGTATAAATCTGGTCTAAGGATGCTTCTATAGACTGTAAGGACTGCAAGAAGCATGTGCTGGCTTAGGACATGCATATGCTTTATTAGATTTCCTATGAACTTCCACATGAAAAATAAAACGAGCTTTTTTTCTTTTACCTCCTTACTTTTCAATAGCAAAACCATTTAGATTTTTTTAAACCACTAAAATACTCAATATAGCATAAAGACTAGTGGTGTAGTCATCAAAAGGTTTGGATTTCTATGTTTTGATAGCATCTTATAGTATTGACTCCTACATATATATAGGCCTGACTCATAATAACAAACTTATCCCTGAGGATTTAATAAAGGAGTTGGTATTAAACTTAGGTGCTGTGGTAAAGTTTTGCTTAAATGGTCTAACTTAAACATTTTAATATTTTTGTGGATTTAATGGTTATGAAAAGTTCTGTCTTGTTATCTGTGAAAACTGAAGCCCATTCTTTTATTCATGGATTCATTACAGCAGAACAGTGGCTAAGTGATCTTCTGCACAGCAGCCATGAACTTCAACCTTGAACTGAAGAACCCATCAAATGGTGAGAAAAGAGTGTGGTTGTCATGACTATTAAGTTAGGGATGCTCTATTATTTTTTCCTGTTTAGCACTGATTATTTTATTTTATAGGTATTGAAGTTAGATTTTTGTTGGGTAACTTGCGGGACCATAACCTAATTTTTCCTCCACATCCCATATTTCAGCTGTTAATTTTTCAAGCTTTGCTTTATTCTTTGCTGTCCTTAACTTCAAAAATAATTGTTAGTGATACACTGAATTCATTAGTTAATTTCTTTATTACTTTCTTTAGCCTTAATCCTGTGCCTAACTCTGTTCACATTAATACTTTTATCAGTAGCACTACTTAGAAAAGTTCAGGATATATGAAGCTGTTTGAAAGACTGAAGTTTAAATTTTACAGATATGAATGCCTGCAACTAAATGAAATGCTACTGGAATGCAGGGAGTGGGGGATCTGAAAGTGCTTTTAGCTAGTATTAGTTTGTTTGCTCTTTTGCATACAATTTGTTTCTTTTAAGACTGAAAGAAGCAAGATCTTAATTTGCTTCTCTAATTTCCCAGTTTCTTGGAAATTTTGAACTCTGAACTTCACAACATTTATAAAATTTTAGTACTGTTCATAATTCTCCTGGGAAGAACAAAACATTATTTTGTTTAGCCATTTTGTGAAAAGGTGACTAAATATAGAGGAACTATTTCTCTTTTTATTTCACTGCCTTGATCAGGTCTTTAATCCTAGTCATACGAATCACTAGGTAATGATTTTTATATGTATGGGTTATTAAGCATAGATCTTAAAACAAGGAGTTTCTTTTAGAGATATAAATTAAGGAAGTAATATTGGGAGCAGGGGCTTGCTTGTGTAAGAATATAGTTGTTAAGTGTTGTTGACTTCCTGATAATTTAGATAGGTCGCAGTTTGAAATAATGGTGCACAGAATGATCCATAGCTGAGGAGATGGATCACAGTGACCAGAAGTTCAAAGAATGCTGAGAGATACCCCAGACCTTTCTGGTATCTCAGCAACAATTTTTTTTTAGCAACTGTATGGTAGAGTGAGGAGTAAAAGGCACAGAACCCTGTTAGTGGCTTATGATTTCCACAGTTTAAACCTCTTGGAATACAGGATATTTACTCTGTCTCAGCTGTTTACCAAACTGGGTTTGGAAGCACAAATATGTTTAAATAGCCAAGAGAGATGCTGAGCCCTTTATGCCAACATCTGAGCTATGCCCTGTGTTAAGAATTGCTTTAGTACTGTTATCAACCACTAAACTTAACCTTTGCAAGGTTCTTTACCATTTCATGTTTTAAAAACAAGGTTTAATACTTAAACCAGAAAGAAGCAGCAGTTTGCAGGCACAGTGCACTGAGATGTAACCCAGTGGTCATTTATTTTTAATACAGATTCAACAATCTGTTTCTTTGTTCTTTCTCAGCCATTTTTTCTTCAGTTTTCTTTTAGAGAGCTGATTCTTGAATTAATTTTAACTGTCTTCATTCTCTTCATCAGTTAATCTTGTATTAAAAATACTTGCATGAGTGTGGGAGAGAAGAGTCTGAAGCCACATTAGTCTCCAGCCATTTTTTATTTAGTTTTCTTTTAGAGAGCTCATTCTTGAATTAATTTTGAGCATTTAACTGTCTGCATTCTCTTCATCAGTTAATCTTGCATTAAAAATACTTGCATGAGTGTGGGAGAGAAGAGTCTGAAGCCACATTAGTCCCTTGCATCTTGTATTGACTTTGCCTATCTGTTAACCAGTGGCTGGATCCAGACCAGCACCAAAGTCTGAGTGTTTTTAGGTGAGGAGCTGAGGCTCAGTTTTGAATGTGTTTTTGATACCACAATGGCTGGATCCCAACCAGCACCAAAGTGTGAGTCTGAGTGTTTTTAGGTGAGGAGATGAGGCTCAGTTTTGAATGTGTTTTTGATACCACAGACCTAGTGAAAGATAACAATAGGATGTAAATTGATTTCCAAATTTAAGCCCTTCTTTAGTTGCTTAGCTGAGCAGAGTTTAGCTACTCCAAATGCTTAAAGTTAAATGGTTTTAAGGTTCTTGAGGCATTTTTGAATTAATGTAATTCTTTCACTTCAACAGAAGAAGAGGTAGACCAATGTCAAACTGTTTTGAAAGGCTTGTTTTCATTACCTTGCTTAGAATATAACTTTGTTTCTTTTGTTCCATCCCCATTTAACTGAATCACTTTGACTTCCCTGACTTTCTTATACCTGTTGTGTCCTGCTAACCCTTCCTCTAATGTCCAGTTTTCTATTAACTTTTCCACACTGATTATTCTTTGTCTCTCTTCTTTTTTTACTGGAGTTTTAGAGAGGTCATTTTTCTTTTTCAATTTCTTTCCTTCCTTCATCCTGGAATCCAGCAACACAAAAATCTCTCTGATTTCAAGTTTGCCTTTTTAGTGAGAAATATACAAATTAAAAACATAGTGCTATATCAATAGAAAGGTAAACAGAGCATTGTGGGTGCTGTTTATAAAAAAGGAACTGGATTTTACATATTACTAAAAACTATTCCCTAATTTTTTATATCAGGATCCAGGCAGTAAGATCAGGATTTTAAGGTGCTACTTTAAAAATCACTCTGCTTATTCTAAAAAAAACCAAAAACCAAAAAAACCAACCAACCTAACCAAAAAACCCACAAAAGTACAAGTAGAGACTGATTACACTTGATGTGGCTGTTTTATTGAGCTGTCTATCACTGAACTTTTTTTAAGCCTTAGGAAAGACAGTATGGAGTTGGAAGAGAAGAATGGATCTCCATGACGGGCAGTCAGTTATAGTCATGGTAAGTTAAAAAAAAATACTGTGTTTCTGTTAAAT